AATACTTCGAATAAAATATTTTTTATCATTTTTATGCAATAAACGTGTATTTTCTATTAAAAAATTCCGGTTTCATATTTACATACCTGGTATTGTAAAAGTGTATAAGACTAGAATAATGATTTTAGATTTGTAAGACATGCGGTTTAAGTTGAATTTAAAAGTAGATTTAAAATTAATTATAATCTTAATTGTAATTGTGATTGTAATTTTAATGTTAATTAATGTTAATTAAACAGTAAACATTGTTTATTTCTTTTACAGTAACATTTACTGTAAAATTTACAGTAAACATTTTCTGTAACATTTACTTATTATATTTTGAGGTCTAGCAGCGCGCCAAGTTTTTTTACATAAAAAATTTTATTTTCATAAAATTTTCTCATTTTGTGATGCTTCGTCTTTAATTTTTTGAAATTAAATGTTGTATTCCATTGCAAATATAAAAGACTCTTGAATAGAAAGATAAAGGTACGTATCATTTTGTCTCGTTAATTAAATGTTATATGTTGCAATAAAATATATGTTCTTTTCGCAATTTAAAAAATACAATAGTATATGTTATATGTTGCAAGAAATTATATATTCGTTTTGCAACTGGCGTAATTTAAAGATTTGATTTCATTTTTTTTTTTTAATACATGCATACGTACTACTGAGGAGTAATTTAAAATAAAAAATTAACAATATATATTACCACTTGAACTATATTATTTATGTAACGATTTTTTTTTTAGTTTATGTAAAGTACAGTTTTTATGGAAGGTACATGCACACTTGGCGCCTTTTTTTTACCTTTTTCGAAAAAGGTAATTTTGTTAAGATTAATATATACATGGGTTGTGCCTAACCTTTTTTGCGGCGCACGTCTGCGCACATGTGCAGAGTGCCGTGACCTATGTTCCATGATCTTCATGACCCCGATCGTCCGCGCAGTAAAAAAAATTGTAGAAATTAAAAAATGTAGATAATTATTTTCAATTTTTTTTATATGAAAAATTTAAGGAATCAGATTACATTTAGTAATCATACAGTGTACATACATTTAAGTATGCTAGAAACGTTATTATAAAGTCATTGCTTCTTATATGAATTGTTACTGAAAATTTTCATCGAATGTATCTTTTTTGTAGTTATTCATATATGTCTAATAATAGAGGAATGTCGCCGATACCAACATACCATTTTGTTTTCAGATAATATTTCTTAAACAAAAGGTAAAAATAAAACTTTAAAAACGTAATTACAAACTGAAAAGTGTCTTCTATCAGATAGAAAAAAAAATAATACTGTTTGCAATTTTTCAATAATTAATTTTTTCGTAAGATAAGCAAAAATGAGCGTCTGACAAAATGGGCTCCAAAACTGACACAGTAGGCAGTAATGCTACTTATTCATATTCTTTTTATTTTACAAGCATTATCTGTATAAAGTACCTACAAGTGAATGTACATAAGATTTTCCATAATCTTTTCACTTCGTTATGAAACATTTTTATTGAATTAATGCATATTTATTTTATGCAAGATACAAATATGTAAAATGCGATAGTTTTTCTAGAGTTGTTCCATATATGCACGATTGCCTTCAGCTCCAATAGACTTATTTGACACTATAAAGCAACATTATAAAGATTAAGTTAGCTCATAGTCTGTTTTACGGACAGGTGTGGCGGTTTACGTTGCACCCCAATTTTAAATTAAAAATCGTATTGTGAAAATACTAAGAGAAAAAATAATATAAATAAAACTTATTTCGGAAACTACAAGTATTTAAAATGACGTAATATTATCAATAATATAGTCACTATTATTTAAACCTCGCAATTTGCAAAAGAAAATCGTAAGAATTTTATTTTCGCATTTGTAGAATTCGTTTTTAGCTGATTTGATATAGAAACAAGCCACAAACTTACGAATTATGAGTTTGTACTTCTTTAATTAGCTAAACAGATCATGATTTTATTAATATTAACTTTTACCGTACCAATATGGGTAACTAGTGACCGAGCGATTCCTGTTCGTGCAAGTTTCTTGGAGTCTTTCGGTAATTATAAATTATATTACATTTTATTATTTTCCAAAATAAAGAGTCAATATTTATTCTAGAAAGTTGAAAGTATGCTGGTGAATTTTTAGAGATTTTTTGAATTATTTTGAAAAGGTGAAAAAAATGAAGAGATTCTAGTGACCCTTGATGGTATGGATGAAGTATCAAATTGTACATGGTACGGTAAGGGTTAATAAAGTGCAATAGTTAGTTTCGGAGAAATAAGGAGGTGTCACTTTAGGAGACCTATGTCAGTATCGGCGACTTTCCTCTATATTATTTTAAATAAACTTTATATTAAGCAAAACATTAGATAAAAAAAAATGTATATTATTCTTTAGAATCCTCGTAATTAAGGTGATCGGTCCGATCCGCTGAGCGTTATAACCCCGTTCCTCCCTACCTATCCGTTGTAAGAAAAAAGAACGAATAACAAGTATAAAAATAAACGCGCGCAATTCTGAAGTTATTAAAATTTATCTTTTGATTTTATATCATTGCCACTACTTGGCAACGTCGCAATGTATCTCTATCTTTAAGTTTTATATCATTATGCGTACTATTTGACAACGTTGCAATTGTATCAAAATTACATTGATGATATCATCATCCGAACATGTCGTGACATGTCAAATGGTTTTAGGTGTGAAAAGAAAATAAGGAGATAGGAGAAGACGGCAACGCATCGAGAGAAAGATATGGTAAGTATATGAGATAGCGCGCACGGTGGCGGCGGCGGCCCGCAACGCATTTTGGGGTGGGAGCGGGGTCCGCGGCGGCGGCGG